ATCAATCAACTGAAGACTACTAAAAGCACGCTTGTACTTAATTGCACTTTCAAGCATGATGTAAGTAGAATTCCATCTAGTGGACACATCTAAGCGTAAGCCAACATTAGTATCAATACCACCAACTTGACTAACACATTCAAGAAAGGTTTTCATCCTGCCCTCTGATGCCTTCACATACTTGATACTATCTCTAATTTTGCTTAAAGCTTCATTCGCCACCTTCAAACCATCTTTAACAATGAGATTCAAGATATGAGCGCAACATCTTATATGAAAAAATTTACCCCTACATAAAAGACTATCTTGCAACGATAGCTTTTCTGTCAAGATAGCACTCATAGCATCATTAGCTGTAGCATTATCCAAAGTAAGAGAAAATATCTTTTTGTCAATGCCCCACTCTTTTAAGCAATCATACACTTTATTTGCCAAATCAAACCCAGAATGCGGAGGCACCATCTTACAAAAAGATAGAATCTTACTATTGAGTTTCCAACTAGAATCAACAAAATGAGCCGTCAAACATATATAACCCTCACTTGTACAAGCTGTCCAACAATCAGATGTCAAACAAATTCTACTCGGACTAGCAAGCATTATAGTTTTCAACTTCTCTTTTTCAATAGAATATAACTTGAAGATATCAGAAGTAGCTGTCAACCTACTAATATTTTTAGCATCAGGATTCAAGTAGTTGATTAGTTCCCTTATCCATTTGTATTCAACAAAGGAGAGTGGAAGATCATGTGAAATAATGGCCCTCGACAAAAGCAAACGTACATTCTTAGGATCAATCTTCTTAGACCTCAATTTTCCTTCAACATCTATCATCATATTACCCACATGTTCAAACTTGGGACTATGAGAACCCTTACATTTATTCATATGACGGGTAAGAGTTGAAGTACCGTAGTTAGAACCATTATGAGCATAATCCTTAGAGCAAGATTTGCATTTCACCCTACCATTAACAGGCTTTTCAAAACAATCCCATACTGCAGATGTATTTGCTCTAGCCCTTGTTGATATCATTTTCTGTAAGTCGGATTAAGCGACACTAATCCGTTGATCGAGACCAATATGATGATGATTAGAGTTCATACAAGCACGAGACACTTC